ATGAGTAGTTGTCCTCGGCGTGTAAAGACTCCTGGGTTCCCGACAGCAGCGCGCCGGGTGACGGCGCCGCCGCCGCCAACGCACCAATCGACTTTTCTCTCTCTTGCGGCGGCATCCGTACCACTCCAGCAGCTCCGTCAGCCGCTTTCGAGGACGCACCCGGCGCCGCCAGGCCCTCGTCTTCCTGGGAAATCCAACGGTCGTCCCAGCCCGCCGCCTCGCTTAGAACTCCCGAGTGCGCCTCCACCGCCAACTCCACCTCCAGCTCGTCCAACAGCTGCCGTACACTGTCGTGTGCGCCCTCGTCGGCATACTTTTGCTTCGCTCCGCCAACCGCCTCCGCCGCCTCCGCACCCGCACCCGCCTCCGCTCTGCCTCTCCATGGTCTTGCGGATCCCAGACGCAGCTCCAGCGCCAGGCTGGGAAGCATCAAAAGCGAAAGCCGCCTATGGCCTCCGCCTCCGCTGCCGCCTCCGCGACTGCCAGCTCCAACAGCCTCGGCAACCATCGCCGCCTCGGCCTCCGTCATCGGAAGCCACCGCGGTGGCGGCGGCGACATAAGGCGCAAGACCTGACCATCCAGACCCATTTTAAGCACCTCGAGCCGATCGCGTACGGCATGCAGGAAGCGCCGCCGTGCCTCGGTCGCCGCAAGCGGCCCTGCCGAACCCCCGGCGATGTCGAGGTGCATGCTCGCCGCCGCCGATGAAGGTGTATCCCCAGTCGCGTCGGCGCTGGAGCCGCTGCCGCTGCCGCTGACAGCACGCCTTCCCATTCCGCAGCCGTGGGGAGCGCCAAGCGCTTGGAGGTGCCCCTCGTCTTCATCTCCATCTTCCGCCGCCGCCGTCGCCTCCGCCTTCGCTGCCGCCGCTGCCGGACGCCGCTGACGGAACTCATCTTCTGAGTCCGCCGTGACGCCACGGGTGGCAGCAGTCACCTCCGGACTCATGGGTCTCCGTACTGCCGCCGCCGACGCCGCCGACGCCGTCGCCGTCGTCAACGCCGTCAAGCCTCCGAGCGCGGCGTACGGAACACCCAAGGCAGCCGCCGCCGTTGCAGCCTTCGCAACATCCGTCGCCTCCCCAATCGCCGGCCCCGCAGCCCTCACCGTCAGCGCTTTTGAACTCAGGCTATCCGTAATTGGCTCCTCCGACGGGTTCCAGCCCTGCGCTCCCGCCGACGCCGACGNC